ATATCAGAGCTGATACAGAAATGAAGGCAAACACAGCTAAGTCTTTGGAAAAAATATCCTTAAATCGGTTAGAGTAAGTTTGAAAGCTGACACCTGCTAGGATATCTGGCTTGAAAAAACTTACCTGGGGCATGCTACCTAAGTTTTGTAAAAGATACATACAAGGGAGCATTGGTAAAAAGCTAAAAACCTTGGCTGTCCCCCAAGCTGAGAAGATAAGAAAAGTACCCCAAGGATGCACATCTCCTTTCTACCCAATTCCATACGACATCATCCTCAAGTTCTGTTACCCAAGTATGTTCTTCCCCTCTTAACTGAAGGTACATAATCTCTAGCTACTTACATTTACTTCTAGGACAACCCCAAGTATTACTGGTGTGGCCCCGAGTCACCAGCTCTGATGGGAGCGGAAGGCAAGTGACCTGGGCCCCAAAGCTACAAGCTGACACAAAACAGTGGCCCACCCAGGGATCCAGATCGTTCAGCGGTACACGTACAATTCACACACACTCGTGTGTAGTCACCAATGCTCTTCATTCTAATTTTATCTAGCGTTTAAACATCCCTTCCTTTTATGAGAGGAGGGTCACAGTAGGGAGTGCTTTTCAATTTTTTTTTTTTTAACGTTTATTTATTTTTGAGACAGAGAGAGACAGAGCGTGAACAGGGGAGGGGCAGAGAGAGAGGGAGACACAGAATCCGAAGCAGGCTCCAGGCTCTGAGCTGTCAGCACAGAGCCCGACGCGGGGCTCGAACTCACGGACCGGGAGATCGTGACCTGAGCTGAAGTCGGACGCTTTAACCGACCGAGCCACCCAAGCGCCCCTAATTTTTTTTTTTTTAATTAAACATTGTTACGGGACCAAGTGACTGTCGATGACAATCAGCCCCAACTTTATTTATAGGGATTTTAGGTCTCTGAAATTTCAAAGTCGGGAAACAATTGAAAGAATGGTTCTCAACTAGGGGGCGATTCTGCGCCCCCCACCAGACGCCCCTTGGCAGTACCTGGATACGTATTTGGTGTCACAAATAGGGAAAAGAGGTTGGCACAGGGATCTAATGGGCGGAGGCCATGGATGCTACTCAACACCCCAGGAGTGCACAGGATAGCCCCCAATGTCAACGCTGCCCAGGTGTTGGGTTAGACTAGTTGATTTCCTTGTCAACCCTTATCTGTCGGGCACTTCCTGTGTGCCAAGCATTGCGTCAAGGGCTAGGGATACAATGGGAGTCAAGCAAGGTAGACAGGCAGTCTGGTCTTCCTTGGTTCGCCATCCCACGTTTCGGAGGCTCTGCCAGGTGCCAGAAAGCCCCCTTCCAAGATGGGGTGGGGGAGGGGAAGACAGGTCTTCACCTTGCACGGCGGGCAGGATCAAGAACCCCCGAGTCCCAGCTCCCTGGCGATCCCACCAGCCAGGGCTCTTACCTGG